CCAGCCCTACCCCCAAGGGCTGTAGGGTGGGGCTCAAAGGAGTCAGTGTGCTAAAATTTCTTCATTTTCCTTGTTAAGAATCAGAGGTGCTAGTTTCAAATCCTTTTTAGTCTGAAATCTGTATGCTAGATATTGAATAAGGTGGTTTTATTGTTTTTTGTCACTTTGAATAATATTTCTGTTCATGTTAAAAACAAAATCAACTCTCTGTATAAATATATCAGGTGACCGTTAAGGCCCATGGGCCTCTTGTTTTATTAAAGTGTCAAAATACAAAAAATATAAGATGAGATCAGGATTGTGTTGATCATGAGTGAGGTGACAAATGTATTAGTAGTACATGTATATTAGGTAAGTGTAATTAGCCATAAAGCTGATGTTGTCATTGTCATAATGTGTTACCTGTATATACCTATTGTGTGGTTTGTGGACATGCAGGGATCTATAGAGTGTTAGAAACTGATTGATGTCAATTTATACTGCTGCATTAAAAAGTCGTGCTATAAAAACAACAGGTCAATGAGAATGTATTACACCTCGCCTTAAAGTGTCGTTAACGACGAGTCACCATCTGTCAGCATATCATTACCTTCCCGGTATAGCCCTCAATCACATGTGACTTTTATTTATAAAGGTTAAAATACCTGTATAAAATTCAATGCAAGCAATCATTTATGTTCTTTTGTTGAATGAATATTTTATGTTAATATGAAGCCTGTTTTTTGTAATTGTGAGATTATTGTAGGCTCGTGTAGAGGTACAGGTGGTGTTACAGTAACACATGATGTCAGGTGTACGTGACAGCTTTGTGAGCTTATGCTGTACTATGGCGTCCGTCATCCATCGTCCGTTGTCTGTCGTCCGTCCGTCAACTTTTTCTTTTGAACGACTTCTTCTGAAGAACTGTAGGACCTAGGGTCATGATATTTGGTCAGTAGGTACCTGGGATGGAGTGCTATAAAGTTTCCTCATTAAAATGACCTTGACCTACTTTCAAGGTCAAATATGTTAAAAATTTCAAACAACAATATCCTTAGAACCATTTGATCTAGAGTCATGATACTTGGGTATGTTATGTAGACCAGCAGTGCGAATATTTTTTTCAGTTACAGTAATGAGGTCAAAGGTCTACTTTAAATGCTGTCAGGGGTTAAATGTCAACTTTGGTTAAAAGCTTTAACAAAGTTCTTCTCAAGTTCCATAAGGCCCAGGGTCATGATATTTTGCCAGTAGGTACCTGGGATGGAGTGCTATAAAGTTTCCTCATGAAAATGACCTTGACCTACTTTCAAGGTCACAGCGGTTAAATATGTTAAAAATTTCAAACAACAATATCCTAAGAACCATTTGAACTAGAGTTATGATACTTGGGTATGTTATGTAGACCAGCAGTTCCAATATTTTTCTCGTTACAGTTATGAGGTCAAAGGTCAACTATAAATGCTAGGTGGGGGTCAAATGTCAACTTTGGTTAAAAGCTTTAACAATCTCCTTCTCAAGTTCCATTAGGCCCAGGGTCATGATATTTAGCCAGTAGGTACCTGGGATGGAGTGCTATAAAGTTTCCTCATTAAAATTACCTACGCCTACTTTCAAGGTCACAGGGGTCAAATATGTTAAAAACTTAAAACAACAATATCCTAAGAACCATTTGGACTAGTCATGATACTTAGGTTTGTTTAATAGACCAGCTGTGTGAATTGTTTTCTTCATTACAGTAATGAGGTCAAAGGTCAACTTTAAGTGCAAATTGGGATTCAAATGTCAACTTTGGTTCAAAGCTTTAAAATTAAAAGTTTCAAACAACAATATCTTCAGAACCGTCAGAACCGTTTAAGAGATGTTAACATGTCTTGTATTCTAGTTACCAAATGGTCTTAAGTTACCTATATGTCAGTTACATGTAACAAAAGAAACAGGTGAGCGATACAGGCCCTCTGGGTCTCTTGTTTTAAATAAAGCAGTGTGAAGTATATATGACAGTACATTTCAATCGTAACCATATAGGCCTATGTCAAAGAAAATATATCTTGGATATCCGGGGGTTATGCTCACTTTCGCTCTTTGCACCCTTGGAATATGTCATAGCAAAATCGAAGGCACAAAGATAGCTGTTTGATTGGTCTCGGGCTATTGTTATTTCTGTAAATGTATACTTAACATTTAAAACCAAATTTCTTAGCTTGTGTTTTGTCACACAAGAATCAAATTCTGGTTTATGTA